GGCGCGCACGGCCCTGACAAAACCCTGGCCCCTTAGGGTTGAAGGTTTAGGGTTCACCCAGCCCCAACGAGCTCCCACTTTTGGGCCCTTCGAAGCTGGGGTTCGGCCTGTAGCACTCACAACCGAATGCAGGATCCAAAGGGCTGGCCTTTGGCTAGCTCGGAATGAAGGAGTGGACAAAAAAAGGAAACTACAGGGATTATCGGGAGAGTTTAGGGTTTAGGGCTTAGGGTGGGAGTGAAGGAATGGAAAAGAAAATGAAAAGTACTATAAGGTTTAGGGTTTAGGAGGAATGGAGAAGAACATGGAAAGTACTATACTGGGCTATATAGGGACTACTATGAGGATCCATTCTTTCATTCCTAGCTAACCGAAGGCCCGACAGGCGCCCTCCAGAAACTTTACAAGAAGCCCCGACTTGGGCCGCAAGATATACCCAACACCTTGTTCAAGGTCTATTCATTTAGGGATTCTTCAAGATTCAAGTGACATGTGGGTATTCGGGGCTTAAATGTTAGGGTTTAAGGATTTAGGGTTAGGAGTTTAGGGCATGTCCTTATTGGTTCCTAATGATAATCCCTCTCATGTCCATCAGGCAAGAAAAGGTGGCCAAGCCTCTATCTGCTCCTTTGGCACAACCGCACGCAGAATGCAGAATCCCTGGCCATGCGGTTTAACGCTTCAGGGTTTACGGAGTACTGTAGGGTTTAAGGTCGGCCCAACACCATGATGAAGCCGAAGTTGTGTTTGCGCTTGATTCAAACCTACTATGCTAATGGCTCCATCGGGTCTATGATGTAGGAATTTATGTCTTCGCATGCCCATTCAGGGCTCGTATCACATCGCAAGATCATACCTAAGGCATGTTATCATGTGAGGGGGCCATGATCCCAGGATCCTTGAGTCTTAATATACTATAGTAGCTTCCAATTTTCCATTAGCCCAATATATATACCTATATATAACGCCGATACACTATAGTAGCTTCCATTTCATTTTCCATTATCCCAATACATAACTCCAATGTCCTATAGTAGCTTCCATTTTCTTTTTCCGGTATTCTGACATAAAACCCCGATATGCTATAGTAGCTTCCGTTTTCTTTTCCATGATCCCAATAAATCCAAATATACTATGATAGCTTCCATTTTCTTCTCCATTATCCCAATATAACGCCGATATACTGTAGCAGCTTGCGTTTCCATTCCATTATCCCAACATATAAATATATATATATATATACAACCCCATTATGCTATAGTAGCTTCCATTTTCTTTTCCGTTATACCAAATAACCCCAACGAGTTTTTGGCTTTGAAGCACGCCCTGTAGGCTTGCCATGCGCCTATGCGCAAGTTCGCATTCCGGGGCCCAAGCAGTTCAAATCGTGATGCTGCACTGCGAACGAATGGGCCTAGATTATGACTACGGTTTTAGGGCATACTACCCGCCATCATTTGTTGAGGCCTGCGCGGGCAGAGTTATCCCGTTCATTTTACTTCTAGACTAATCTAGCCCATGATTAATAAACCCCATCGGGCCTTAATACTAGGATCCCTATTATAATCCCTATTAAGGGTTTATTAATCATGCGTCTACATTAGGCTTAAGCTTGGCGCGGACTGAGGAGTTTCTGGTTCAAGGCTACGCCACAATCAAAGGATACATATTCCAATTCAATTCCAATCTATTATGGGGGAATACTCATTGTTAGGGATACGGGATACTGTTCAGAGGAGGAGCTTAGTTTGAACCAGCTACATACAAACCTCCCATGGATGCACTAAATATGCAACTGGGAATGTGCTTGGAAAACTGGGAAAGTCAAAGAGCATACCATCAAGGCATAAACCCTAAATCCCAAACCCTGAACATGCGTGACAAAAAGCACGTGCAACTGGCCTGCTCCTCGTAAGCATTCAGCCTGAGGGGGAGCCGACAAAATCCTACCAAAGAACCAGGGAGGATTAATGTTAGAGCCCTAAGCCCCAAAGCAAACACACTGCTTAAGCCTTAAAAGCGCAGGCCCATGCCAACCCTGAACACTATACCCCATTTAGAGTACCCCAGGGCCCATTTAAGCACTACATCACTACACTTGAGGACATCACGAGTGCCCCAGCTCAATGGTCGTTGCTCTCCCAAGTCTAGGCGGGCTCAACAATGGCAAGGAACAGGCCTAAAAATAGGCTTCATGGTAATTTGGAGTAAACCTGTTTCGGATCACGGAACGCAGCAATCATACGTACGTGCACATGCCGTGAAGGTACATGGTTAAGGCCGCTGGTTGAAATTTGGATTAAGGCAAAAGCTGGCTGGTAAAGAGGAATATGAGCGCAAAATTCCCACAAATCAAATTGGTATGGGACTTGTTGATGTTAACTTAACTGTCAAGCGGGACAAATCCTAAAAGGCTGCCACCACTTTGTCAGGGAGCCCTAAGTACGGACCACACGCGGGTCTTTCTTTGGGTTTCCTACGGCCCTCCGCCTTCTAATCAACCCTTCAAACCCGTCACAACAAGGCCCAAATTATTGCAGGCGGCCAGGACAAGGACGCAAAGGGCTTAGGGGACTCGCCTGCCAATTCCCGCTTAATCCGGAAGCCTCTGCTTAATAGCCCATATCCTCTCCTGGTTGCAGATACGTACGTGGAAACGTACATACATTAACCAAAACATATGCGAAAACCTATGTATATATCTATATGCGAATGCATGTATGTGCACATATTTATGACCAGAAGAATAACACATATTAAGACTAATACACTCCCCCAAACTAACATGGAAACCCATATAGCCACTTTTTAAAGGGATTGTAGTCTTTATAGGGCCCTTTTTGGGTTTCCATGTTAGTTTCTGGGAGGGTATAGTCTTCAAATCCGACCCTCAAGTCCTAGAGGGTGCACGTTGAAACCTGGCTCCTACTGCCTTGGATACAACAACATGGTACCTGTCGATTCCAGCTTCCCGTGCCAATGAGCCGGTCAGGGGACTTAGTAAGCAGGTTTTTAGATGGGGATAATTGGGGTTATTATATGGCTGATAGGGGTTGTCAACCTACGTACTAGGCCCCCCTGACCCTGTAAGGACCTCTTCCCACAACCACCCCGCCAGATGGGTAGTTGCCGAATTTTGGGTGCCATTTTGGTACCCCTCAATATTAGGTGCCGTTGTATATTCCATAACCCAAAAGGGGCCCATGATTTTGAGAATAATCCCATAACCCCTATATAGCACCCTAAACCCTAAATAGTAGCTTCCATTTTCTTTTCCTTTATCCCTATATAACCCCTATAACCCTAAAGAACAGACCTAAAGGTTCTGAGAATGACCCAGATTTAACATCTACAACTTAGGCCGGAGCATGCTTCACATTAGGCGCTTGGGTGCTGCTTAGCACTTCGGGACGGTTTAGGGGTTTAGGGTTTAGGGTTGGGAAGGAGGAAGCACGTGGCAAGTAAAGATTCTCGCGCATTGCTCCTCCTGAAGTTACAGCTGGATGCTTGTGTAAAGTGTAAATTCTGTTTGGAGGAAGCCTGTAGCTCGTGCACACATGTCAGAGTTTCCCGAAACTTTGACTGCATGTACTTTTCACGGACGTCTAGAGTCTAGACTCTTCTCGTAGCCCCTAGATCTCTACGCACATACATCCGTGGACCTAAGAACGCTCTTCTATCTTCTATAAAAACCCCTGCACTGTATCTTTGCAAAGACCAAGCTTGCATGTTGTTAGCACCAAAGAAAGGAAGGGTACAGCACATCAAATCAGGTATTACTTGTGGGGATTGGGATCTATAGTGGGCATTACAGGGATCCATGCCTCCTTCCTCTACACCCTAAACCCTAAACCCCTAAACCCCTAAACCCTAAACCCTAGTAACTGGCTAGCTGGGGCTGGGGCAGCGCTTGGCTCAATGGCTTCGTCAAATGCCCCGGCCAAACCTCCAGCTTCACTGACATGTTTCTTGGAGAATGTAGACCAAGTTCCGAGGTATAGTATCCCTTGACTCCTGAACAACATAATAGTCAATTTCATGAACCGTGAAACAAACGAAAGGATGCTCCAGAAGTGAACGAAATTCGTGACCAAGATTGCGAGGCCTGTTTTGGAGTGCCCGAGTGGCGAAGCCCTGTCAGATACGTTCCTTGAGGAGAAGAAGCATAACTGACATTACCACCATGGGATGTTGCTGCCTGTTGTCATCTCCTGGGTAGCCCATCTCACCGTGACCAATCTAGGCGAGGTTTCTAAAATGGGATGGGTGGTACAAGTATGTGGTACAATTTGGGGCTCAGGCATGGGGCTAGGTCAGGATTGGAGAGTTAGAAGGCAGGAGTAGGCTTTTCGATGAGTCCAGCACGCAAGATTTCTACAGACTGGGAGCAGCTTCAGCCGGTGAACCTAACTAAAAGAATTTCACACACAAAAAGAACCCTTATCCTGACACTCTAGAACAAAAAATCCTTTTTTGCAGCTGTGTGAGGAAAGCCTATACCCCAAGACGGATGCGGGATGCCTAATCCCTGAACCAAGAAACCCCCAAACATAATCCCAGTTGATTTTCCGCTATTCTAATTACTCAACCCTCAACCGTCTTGAATCCCCGTCACACGCCCCTTGAAGGGGGCTGTTGATGCAGAGACAAGGGACTCCGTTGACCAAAATCCCGAATACGTAACCTGACACCCTAAAACCCAACCAAAGCGAAAACCCTAAAACCCTAAACGCCAAACCAAAACAGGCCCTAAACCCCAAACCCTGAGGCCTCAGCCTTCAGACGGTAAACCATGAACCCACTCGGCCAAGCCACCACTGGGTCAGGTCGCGGCACCAAACCACTCTCCCCGCCGCGCGTTGCATAGGGTTCGCCTAGGTTGCTAAGGAACTGAAATAAGACCCAAAGGGTCCATGTAGGTATATGGGATATACTTGGGCCTTAAAGTAGGTATATGGGAACCCCCTTGGGCCCTAAGTATATACCATACACCTACATGGACCCTTTGGGAGATGAAATAAGGGCTTGGGATTTAGGATTCAGAGTTAACGAACTTAGGGCTTATAGGGCGATTGTAACGCTTCGGGCTCCAAATAGCCTGAAGTAGGTACCAGGTAAGATGTATGGACTTTGGAGCCTACAGTCAGTATTCATAAACTTAGCAACCAAAGCAAGGGCGTGAGGTTCAGGAGATTAAGGTTCTGGGTCATCTGCTGGAGATCCTGCATGCTGTGCGCATCACTTGGAAGCTGGGAGGACTTAGTAAATGCGCTTCTTAGTAAGTATGCTTGATAATGACCCCTATACTTAAGCCGTATAAAAACCCCGGCTGTCACATCATTGAAGTACTCATGGGCGTTTCAACAATACTTTCCTGCAGTATCGTACCGAACCGTACCGGTACCGTACCGAACCGCGCTTGTTTGGTGGCACCGAACCGAACCGTTTCCCCTCCACCCGCCCCTCC